ATTCTAATAGACCATCTTATGACCTACGTGACTTTGGGTTTAACCATGCTAAATCAGTTTCTTCCCCTATAAATAATATAACCATACATACTACATAGGTGTTATTAGAGGTTATGATGCATTATATCATAAAGCACGTGTTAAGTGCCAAGAACCACAGGAAACATTTGACAAATACTAGTTCTCTCTTTTCTCAAAATGAAAGGTCACTTTTTCCTTTAATTATTGGCCTCCTTTTAAAAAAGAAGATACTATTTCTTCTATATAATAGTATATTATAGAAAGCACCCCTTGAGCAAAAAATACAATAAAGCTAAAAACAGTAGTTGGCTAAATTCAGTGAAAAAAATGTGTGAATAATTTTAAGAGTTTTTTTGATGACAAAGAGAAACAAATAGGTTCTTTCAGGTGACCAGGCAAGGGGTGCTGATTTCACCAAAAAAGAACCCTAACAACTTAACAAAGGGTATAGAAAAATATTAATTAACAGAGGAACTAAAGAAATTACCTCCAGAAAATGAAAATAATTATAAAGAGCAAGTAGGATGGGATTTTTATAATTTTGCTGGTGTGTTCAAAAAATTAAATAATTAGATGTTTTATTTAAATATGATTTTTAATGAAATTATATATCTTATAAAATTGTATCCATTGTACATACACACACACACATTCTACAGGAGTGTACAAAAGTATGCGTGCTAAGTTTCATAAACCAGCCAAGTGAACTACAACTTCACTGTGTTTTAACTGTGTGGTTAACTGTATATATTATTACACATTGCCAATTAAAATAATACTGCTTCTGAAAATATGAAATTACTTTTAAGTTCTCTTTACTGAATTTGTTTTCAAATAATCACCTACCAAGAAATTAATGTCATAAGTAAAACTGTCATGTTCAAGAAATTTAGTTTAAAAACTCTTATTATTAGAGCACCTGTCTTGCTCACTTCGTAAAGCACACAACTCTTGATCTCAGGATTCTGAGTTCAAACTCCAGATTGAATGTAGAGCTCACTTAAAAAAAAAATAAAATAGGGGTGCCTTGCTGGCTCAGTTAAGTGTCTAACTCTTGATTGTGGCTCAGGTCATGATCTCAGAGTCCTGGGTTGAGCCTCATGTGGGGCTCTGCACTTGGAAATGGGGGATCTGCTCAAAATTCTCTTCCCTCTGGTCCTCCTCCTGAGTGCTCTCTCTCTTTCTCTCTCAAATGAATAAATAAATCTTGAAAAAAAATTTTAAAATTTTTATTTATTTATTTATTTGACAGAGAGAGATCACAAGTATGCAGAGAGGCAGGCAGAGAGAGAGAGAGGAGGAAGCAGGCTCCCTGCCGAGCAGAGAGACAGATGCAGGACTTGATCCCAGGACCCTGAGATCATGACTTGAGCCGAAGGCAAAGGCTTAACCCACTCAGCCACCCAGGTGCCCAGAAATAAAAAAATTTTTAGAACTCTTATTATTTTGATCTGATTTGAAGTTTCCGCTTCAGTTTCAATATATCTGCTTTCTGCAAGATATATTTCTAATATAAATCATATTTTAATCTAATTCAGGAAATCACACTTTGGTGTTTCTAAAAAAGATATATGATCCCTGTATCTCTGAGTTGTCCTTCATCTTGTTCAGAATTCTATACATCCTCTTAACCACTGGGCAAATTTTCTTACTGGAAAATAATGACTACCATTTGTATTCAAAGCGTCATAATTTTATGTTAGGCCTACCAAACATTCTTGTAATAATAGCTCTTCATTTGATGATTCTGAAATAATGTCTCAAAATTCAGATCATTATTAATGTCTGTTTCAATTCAGGACAATCTCTCATTTGTAAATGCTAAAATCCTCAAACTACTTAGAGATACTTTAGAGATGTGAAAAAAAACTAACAACCTGATACCTTTTTTCCTTCTAACCCTAGAAAACTAACTTTTATGACAATGCATACTTCACACAGCCAAATAATTTCAGAGTATAAATGTCTAATAACAGAAGATGAACATGAGGCATGTTTTTCCATTACATCTTTAGCTGAAGGTTATCTTTACCACAAAGATCATTTTCATCTTGAATAAAGTGTCATGGTGGTTTTCTGAAAGCAGTAATACTACCACTAATAATAACAAAAAAATAACAAAGTTATCTGATTTCAAGCTAGATTTATAAACAAGAACGTTAAGTAATATATCATTCTATATTAGAGTTGATTCAGTCTCATTCACCAGCCCTGGGTCTATTACCAATTGCACTTGAGTTACTTTTTTAAAATACAGATGCCCAGTGCCTAATCTAAGAGAATCAGTTTATACAGATCTAAGTTTTTCCCTACAATCTTCAAGGGGGATGCCAAGGTACAGCCATGTTAAAAAAATTACTGCCATGTGCCTTCCACATCTATCATCTATAGTGTAACAATGAGAACTGTGAAGTCAAGTTTATGTCCTCAAAGATTAACAATATTCACTATGTAAAATTTACTATGGCAATTAAGGTTGAAATAGTACTTTTTAGAGCAATGTATTGGCACAAATATTCCTATTTATTTAAACATCATAAAACACAATACAATCAGCTAACTCCTCAGGTGCACTCCAGTTAAACATGCCATAAAAGTCCAAGGATAATGTACTAAAGAGAAAAATTAGCAAGATGACCTTTTTTTCAAAACAGATCTATTTTCCAGTTGGTTCATTATGCAATGGTTGTATTTTATTTCCATAAAATATACTCCATAAGGAAAAAAACTATTTTGGAAAACATTTTCTGAAATATAAAAAATACTTTTCCCAGGAAAATATTCCAACATTTGATGCCACAAATTCAAGAGAATAAAAACAGATTTGGGGGGACAGCTTTATTGGGAACGGCACAAAAATAATCAAATGAGGTAAAACAGAACACTTTTATCCTATGTTGTTTTAGGTTTTGTTAATATTGTTAATATTTTGTTGTTAATTGTTAATGTTATGTTTAAGTGTAAAAACTGCTTAAAATGTTATTCTCTCTCCCATCTGAAAATTTGCTTGAAAAACAAAACTGGTATTTGCTTCTATCTTTCCACAGCATTAAAAAACATTATTAAACATAAGTGTCTGATAATCTGTTACAAAATTAGAACATAAAATGGATCCAACCAAACAGCAGCATGAGGTACTCAAGTAGAAAGACTACGTAAGTTTTAGGAGTTACAAAAGCTGGATGTACCACTTACCACCTGCATGGTTTTGGGCTTAATATTCCAGAAATGAGTTTATTAACACCTTGTTAGAAATTATTAGAGAGGTTAAGATATTGTATATAAAGTCCTTAGCACACTATCTAATCCTTAGAAACACTTAACAAATAGTAATTAGAATAATGATAATCTGATCTCTCTCAAACTAATCTAATACCTCTATTATTTTTCACATGGATAAGCTTTTTTGATATAAACCCTAAAATATAATAATCTTGAACAATTTGGAAGGAATACAATTAATTTCCCAATATGTTAGCTACAAAATACCTCAACATTAACTCTTCATTAAAGTATGCAAAGTAGGTGGTAACTCCTTGAAGAATCTTCTGAAAAAGTCCAAAATCTCACTTCATAGGTTTTTAACAATAATAACAAATTGAAAAGAAAGAAAAAACAAAATGAAAAAGAAAAGAAAAAACAAAATGAAACAAAATCCCTTTATCTACCTCCAGAGGAATAAGCTTACTGTCTCATCACAGCCAAAAAAAATATGTTGGCAGCCTCAGCCTGGCAATGACAGATCATAAAAAGGAGCCTAGATTCAGAACATCATTTAATCCATTTTTCAGGATCTCAGCACTAATTTATAAACCAAGACAATCCAATTTTGATAATGAATTATCACTTCAAATTATTAGTCCAAAAAGGTAAAGATTTAATTATTTAGTATCTAAAAATCCTAAAGGTAGTGGATTCTTTATAATGATTAATCACAGACAGATACTCACAGTTTAGAATCAAAAAATATGCTTAATTTTATCACTAGGAATTTCCTTCCAAATGTATAACAGTATAAAAACCAAAGTCCTTACTAATAGGCATAATTTTTTTTATATGCCACCACTTGAAATAATTTTTCAAAGTAGACTATGTGCCTTTATGATGTTTAAGAGCAAAACTGTATCTCTTAAATCCATTAAGTGTGTTATTCTTTAGTTTATTTTTTATTTTTATTTATCAGGAGGTTTCATAATAGCTTAAAATTGGCATATTACTTTACACCATCAATTAAAACTGTTCTGAACTACTGTTAAATATATTTTAAATATCAAGTAGTCTTCATCTATAAAATGACACAAAGAGAAGAAATATTTTCACTATACTGGTCCACTGGGTAGCTAAATTTAGTATTTCAAAAAAATATTCATTTAATGTTTAGAAATTAAAGGACTATAGATAGCATAATTAAAATTAAGAAAAATATATAAATACACTGTAATTCTGGCTCTCTGAAAAATATTCTTATTTGGTTACTTCCATTCCCAGATATGTTCTGGGTTTCCATTTTTGTCCCCAAATCTTATTTCCTTAGCTCTACTGTCTCTATGCTCCTCTCTTTACTTCTATCATCTTCCTACAAAAAGGAACTATATAACTCTGTGTTTAATTTAAATGCATCTTTGCTCATACACACTAACCCTAAAATGCTTGCATTCCTACTACTTGTAATTTACATAATTCGACAGAGCCCCTTATCTGTCTGTTATCAAAACTAATATGGCAACACAATAGACTGATAAAGGGCTCACATAGGGATGCAATATACAAAAGCCCTCAAAAAGGATGCTTAAACCTAGAGTGTCTGTTCTTCTGGCCCTACACTACTATTGTGCTGAAATTAGAATTCCATTCATAATCTGTCACTGAATTTATCTCTAAAATGACATATACACATGCTGTCAATTAATGTATTTGAGAATCTCTATATGACAAATTTCTGGTATTTCCTACTTTGTACAATCCTAACAGATACATACCTATGTCATATGCCAGGAAATCGGCAGAAAAACATTTTGCACCGTTACTCAAGGAAGTGTCATTATGGGTATTTCCTCCAAAAATAAGCATAGCTCCATTGATAAGAACAGCTGAATGAAGGTATCTGGCAAACCCACTTTCTTTCAAAATAGTCCTACAGGATAAAATTTGAAAATGTATTACAAAGGATAAAAAGACCTCCCTGATTTTATATATATTATATAAAGGGTCTAACTTGCATATAGAATTTTCCTTCAAATTATGAAAATAACATGCTTTATTTTTTAACAATTCATAAATGTCCTCTAAATTTCAATATTTTTAAAATATTTTGAGATTCACAGTGTTTTAAAATGTTCTGAGGAAACACAATATTAAAAATAATTATTCATGATTTTATAATTTATATTTTGAACTTTTATTTCATTTATAAAAGTAGGAAGCAAGTGTCCTTAAAACTAGAGGACCAAAGTACCATCAGTTTTAAATACAAAAGTAAATAGAAAGTTTAATATAATAAATTTACTCTGAACTGTATTCAGTTAAAACTAATAATTCACATGGATCCCATAATACACTATTTAAGTTTTTATTTAAATATAACATACATAAAAATGCACATGTCTAAAATTCAGTGAAATTTCACAAGATGAACATAACTGTGTAAAGAGTACTGAGATATTTTTTTAAAAGATTACCACTGTTCTGATTCTTTTGTGGTTCCATACCAATCTTAGGATTGTTTGTTCTATTTGTATTGTTGCTGTACTTTATAAAATATAATCATATAGCTTGTATCCATTTGTATACACATTATTTTGCTTAAGATTATTTTTGAGGTAGATCCATATTGTGTAAAATCACAATGTATTTTTAAGAAACATCAAATTAATATAAACGTTTTTAATTAATTGAAGTATAACTGAAAGTACTATAAATATACGCTCATAATTATATTTCACCTTAATGTACTGAAATCTAATAAACTGCATGACTCGATATGAATCAATATTTCTTAAGTATTCCAAATAAAGCAGTGCTACTAAAAAAGAATCAGAATGTAAACCCAGTACATACAGTATAATGAGTAAGATATGTATAGTATATATCTCAAAAACCTATAGCAATTAATGCTTAAAGAATATGGAGCTGACTTCCATAATAGCAAGATAAGGAGTCCCACAAACTCTATAGGGAGAGAGCTATAATTGGTAAAAATTACAAAAAAACAGCATTTAATTTCTCAGAAAAATTTAGTAAGAGCAACAACAAATAATTATTATTTATAAATAAATAAATAAATATTTACTCAAGAATGTCTACGAAATTTCAGTAAGAACAGCAGGAGTCCATGATACTTAACCTACTATCTACTCCCATCCTTCCCCATATCAGCACCCTCCTCCACCACACACACACAACTAGTTCAGCAAGGAGGAAGTTCAACTCCAGGTGGGTAAAGCCGAGAACAGACAGCTCCTTGTTCCTCACCTCCTGGTCCAGGCCACTGATATCTAACCAGGAACAGCAGACAGCCAGTACTTCTTATGGCCCCCAGTTCTGGGTAACAAAATCTCTACTCCAGAAATACATGAGAGGTCTGAATGTTCATCCTCAACCTAGTCCCCATTCATATGCTGTAAGCTATACACTCAGGCCTAGCAAGCTAAGAGGGCCAAGAAAACTTCACCCCACATCAATCATAGGTAGAAGTTCTATGCAAGCTGAGAAGAGCAAAGGCCACTGTCCCCCATCTACTTCCTGCACAGAACACAGTGGAATCACTCTAGGAGGAAGAGACTACTAACCCCACCTACAATTCCAAAGTAGTGGCACAGAGTCTCACCTCACCCCACACCAGGGAGACGCAGGCTAAGAAAAAGAGAGCGCCACAGATGTCCCAAGGGAACTGAGTTTATTTGTAACAAAAGGTGGGAAACTTCAAGCTCTAAGGGCACTCTCAAAAACAATGGAGGTTTTCACTGTAAGCAATTAAGAGACAGTTGGCAACTCCCTGAGAGCAATCAGCTAAAACACAGAATAGAGAGGAGTTCACCAGAGAAAAGCAGGGGAAAAGACAGCTAGTAAGAGCCATACTAGAGTCAGAATCTCTAAGACTGGTCTCAAAGACCATGCCTGAAAAAGGGCTGAAATTGAATTCAGACTAAGGAGCAATTAACGCCCCCAGAGTATTGCTGAGAATAATTCACCCATAGTCAGCAACTAGTGGTGCTAGCATGTGGTTGTAATGTGGTCAGATAGCTTACCACAGAAGTCAGAGGGAAAAGTCAGAAAGCCCTGCTAACACTACTGTCATCCAGGGGGAATTTCGCGCATCCTCAGGCTGCTTCCTCTAAGGAGCAACATCAGAGGATCCACTGGAGGAAGAAAATGACTTCATTAAAACAGTTCAGCAAAGTCACTACATAAGTAAAATTACAACAGTTCCAGAAAAGGAGGAAAAACCAGGATCCAGAATTGCTACAATATGTTATCTAAAATGTTCAGTGTTCAGGGGAAATTATGGCATGCAATGAAATAGGAAAGAGTAACCTATACATAGGGAAAAAAGCAGGCAACAGAATTGCCTTTGAGAGAACCCAGATGTCAGATGAAGCAAAAAAAACTTCAAAGCAGCTATTATAAATGTTCAGACTTAAAACAGGTTTAAAGAAGTAAAGGAAAATAAAAAATGTCATATCAAATATAAAACAAAAGATACAGAAATTACCCAAATCTAGAATTCCAAAGTATAAAAGTTGAAATTTTTACATTTATGACAGAAATCTAATAGTAAATTTCAACGAGAAGAAAAAATCAATGACATAGAAGACAGAAAAATTAGAGATTCTGCTATCTGAAGAATAAGAAAAGAAAATGAACAAAGCCTGTAAGAAATGTAGAACACCATTAACAGCAACAATACACATTTACTGAGAATACTAGCGCAGAGGGTAAAGTGGTAAAAAATTTTCAAGAAATAATGTGTGACAACTTCCTAAATTTGATGAAAAACATTAATATACACATTCAAGTAGCTCCATGAACTACAAGAAGGAAAAAACACAGAAAGAACCACATTCAGACATAAAATAGTAAAAACATTGAAGACCACAGAGAAAGAGAAAATACTAAAAGCAGCAAGGAAGAGGATTTTTTTGCATACAAGAGAACACCAATAGGACAAACAACTGACTTTACACTAGAAATAATAAAGGTCAAAATGCAGTGAAATGACATATGCAAAGTGCTGAATGATAAAAAAAAAATCAAAATACAGGGAGGGACATATGATGATGGAATAAGAGTTTTCTGACCTCGTCCTCCCATAGAAACAGATTTTATCAACTATGGAGAGATAAGAGTACCTTTATGGGAGCCCAGAAGTCCCAGGACCACTTGGAGCAAGAATTCCAAGAATAGGAATGTCAAGGCGGGTAGGAAGAACATTACCACATCACCTCTCCCCAAGACAACACTGCTCACTCCCAAGAGAAACCCCTTCAACCTAAAATTACTCCCATGGGGGAAGTGAGAATATAGTATGTATCTGGCGTCCACAGCCAAGAAGGATTATGCCCAAGAGGACCACTTCTTTCTTATCCCATCCAGAAAGATAAGAAGATTGGCAGAGAAAGAAAAAGGGTGCTCACAGCAACTGGGGCACAGATCTCAACAAAGACTCAACATTTCTACTAACCACTTCATGAACTCTTACAAGAGGTCCACCCATGAACTTCATAGGATACATCACCTGCAAACTTACCCCAAATAGCACAAATATGCCCCCAGCAACCCATAAATCCCTCCTCATGTAGCACACTCATGCTCCTGCAGATGGTTCATGAGCATACACAGACAGCTGGGTCAACTCTGTTGCACTGGTAGAAGATGCATAACCCTAAACACTTCAAGCACTGCCCAAGTGAAAAAAATGGGAGGCCCTCAGCACTAGACCTAGCTTTGCAGAATGGAGAATATAATACCCAAAATATAAAAAAAACTGACAAAAATCAATAAAAAAGAACAATCCAATTAAACAATTCACAGATGATGTGAACAAATACTTTTCCAAAGAAGACATATAGATTGTCATCAGGTAAATGAAAAAGCGCTTAACATCCCTAATCATCAGGGAATGCAAAAAAAAAACCAAAATGAGATATCACCTCATACCTGTTAGAATGGCTATAATTGAAAAGATAAGAAATAACAAGTGTTGATGAGGATGTGGAGTAAAAGGAAACTTTGTACACTATTGGTGAGAAAGTAAATTGGTACAATCAATTTGGAAAGTATTATAGACCCTACTCAAAAAATTAAAAATAGAACTACCAAGAGCTATCGTACTATTCAGCAATCCCACTTCCAGGTATATGTCCAAAGGAAATGACATCAGTATCTTAAAAATATCTCTTCACTCTCATGTTCACTGAAGTATTATTCATAGTAGCCAAGATATGGAAACAACTTAAGTGTCCATCAACGAATGAATGAAGAAAATGCAATATAAATATAAGTATGTGTAGTATTATTTAGCTTTTTAAAAGGAAGAAATCCTGCCATTTACAACAACATAGATGAACCTGGACAATATTATGCTAAGTGAAATAAGCCAGAGACAGAAAGACAAATATTACATGATCTCACTTTACATGGAATCTAAAAGAGTCAAACTCAAAAAAGCAGAGAGTAAAATGGTGATTTGCAAGGCCTGAGAATGGGGGGAAAGGAGAGGCATAGGTCAAAGCACACAAAGTTTCAATTATGCAAGATACATAAGCTCTGGAAATCTAATGTACAGAATGGTTACTACAGTTAATAAGACTGCCTTGTATACTTGAAATTTGCTGACATAAGTATTCACACCATACATAGCAAAAAAAAGGGGGGGGAACTATGTAAGATAATGAATATGTTAATTAGTTTGACTATGGTAATCATTTCCCACTGTGTATGTGTATCAAAACATCACATATATACCTTAAATATACACAATTCTTATCTGTCAATTAAAGTTCAAGAAAGCTGGAAAAAAAATAACCAAGATAAACACATTACCAGATGAATAAAAGTTATAAATTTATTGATAGAATATCTGCTTTATAAGATATTAAAGGAAGTTCTCCAGTCTTAGATCAGTCATTTCAATCC